CTACCTTCTGGCCTGAGGCTGGATGCCAGGACCTGAGACCCTGAACATCTGGCACCTGTGCAAGTTCCTCACTGGCTGGTAGACTGATAGGCAGATGGACAGATGGACAAAGACCACCCCCTTTTACGGTGGTTCTATCAGTAGCCAGAAAATGTACTTTGAGCCACCACCAGACCCCAGCCTGGCCCCACTGCAGCCTCCAGGAGGGAAGCAGCCTGAAGGGTCTCCTCCAGCCACGGGCCCAGGAAGGACAAGAGCCTAGCAGCTGCAGCTCACAGCTCCCCACCCTGCCCAACCACAGCCTGGTGGAGAGCCTGAGAGAGGCCCCGGACCCCAGCCCAGATCCTTCACCTCTGGCTCCCCAGCCTGTCTCTACTCCAGACCTGCCCAGGGGTGGCCCACGTACACACTAGCAGCTGTGCAATCCTCACCATGCAACTCCGAGCCCCCCAAACCACAGCACCACCTTGGGGCTCTGGCAGGAAGGAGTGGAAGGGGGTGGTATTATCTCCATGTTACATATGAGCACACGCCTGGACTGGGGAGGAGGGGATGTGGGCCATGGGACCCCACCCTGCCTCACTTCCTGGCCGAGCTCCCCCGACATCCTAGAGGCCTCAGTGTAGCACAGGCGCAGGGTGGGGGGTGCGGGCCAGGGGTCCTGGCAGCATGGCGGCAGGGGCGGGGCAGGTGGAGAGTGGTAATCCCAGCATCCACAAGGCTGTACTCACCTGGCCTCCCACCAAAAAAGACAACCCCTCAAACCCTCCATGACCAGGGGCTCCAGAGGTCCAGAGGCAGGATCTCCAAACCCAGAAGGCGGGCATCAGAGAAACACCCTCCCAGTGCTCAGGCTCTGCAGAACTTGCCTGCAGATCCTGGTTAGGTTCCTGACAGTGTTCCCGGCAACTTCCCTCCTCCCAACATCTCCTAGCGGGGTGTATGGACCACGTGGCACAGAGGACAAACCAGGGCCGCCCAGACCGGGGACCCTGAGCCCCTACCCCTCCGAGCCTTACAGGAGATCTGGACCTTGGGCCACAGACTACGGAATGTCTGGCCAAGGAAATAAGAGTCAAAGCTGCTGGATTCAAACTCACTCTAGACTGTCCCCAAAGCCTTGACCCCCAGCTGCCCGTCCCAACCACACTCAGTGCCTCCCCCACCCTCACAGTCTCACTGCCCTGAGGCCAAAGCTATAGGGTGGCCAAATTAACACAGGACCCTGGCTCAGTCTGACCTTTGGATAAACAATGAGTAAGTTTTTAGTGTAAATTAAGCCCCCAGTACCATGTTATCCATTGCTTATCTGAAATCCAAATTTAACTGGGCATCCCTATTTTTATTGGCTAAATTTGGCACCCCAAAGCAGGTGGTCCTGAAGGAGGGAGACAGGTGGGCACGCAAATAGCTCCGGGTCAGCCAGGCGGAGCTCCAGCCCAAGAGGAAGGGTATTTGGAAGGGGAATTCTGCTCTTTGCCTGAAACATCCCCACTGGTCACTCCAAGCCGGGAATGGACAAGTACAGCCTCACCGGCTCCTTCAGGAAATCTAACTCAGAGAACAAGGGCTCAGCCCCCGGCACCACCCGCTCCCACAGGCCCTGAGCCTCTTCACTACTGGCACCCACAGCACCAAGTCTGACGTGACAAAGTACCAACCCCACGAGCATTAGGATCATAGGCAGTGCCAGCCAGACATCCCTGCAAGTGAGGAAACTGGGTGCCCAGCGAAGGGCTGGCTCCCTGAGACCCACCTGAAGCCCCCAACACCTCCACACCACCGAGGGGGTGACACGTCCCTGTCTTAGGACCAGGTTCACCTCCTCCTTCTCCCATGCAGACCAGCCCTGCCCACCACTCCACCCCTGCTGATGAATTCCTGCTGGGAATTCCCTTCCGGTCTCAAAGGCCATGGCTCCTGGGCCCCACATCCTCCAGAGAGGTCCTGAGCCCTTAGCACCAGGCCCTGCTCCAATCTCTGGCATCTGCAGGTCTTGTTCCCGCTACCCCGAGGCCAAACCCTGAGGCTCTGCCGGCTCCATGGTGCTCAGCACAGGTTGCTGGCTTGTTCTAAAGAACTTGTCCCTGGCTGCCCAGTAGCAGAGAGAGGTGCCCAGGAATGGCCGAGAGTCAGAGGACTGAGAGAAGCAGACGGATGGCACTTGGGGAACAAAGCCACAGGCTCAGGTTCGGGGGATGACACAAACTGTGGCAAAGGGGAAAGAGGGGGCCCCTGGTAGGATGGGGGGCGGGAAGCTCAGGAAAAGAACCTGCGATCCCTACCACTGTGGGGAACCTGTCCCAGAAACGGGAATTTGGGAACAGCAGAAGAGAGGCTGCTTAGCAACGTGGGCCAAGGTTCGGGAGCAGGACTCCCCTCACCCATGCCCTCAAGCAGCCATTCAACAAGTATCGGCACCAGTCTTGCAGCACCAAGGAACCGAAAGCAAGCCTCTGTCCCTGCTCTGCCCCTAAGGCAACTGAGGAGACACAGCTGTGTAACTTTTGAGACCAATGTTGGGACAGAGACAGGACAGAGAGGCAGTAGCACTTTGGCTAGCCCTGGGGACATGACAGCTAGGAAGAAGACTAATTTTACAACCCCTGCCCTCCCTCAACCCCTAGCTAGGCAAGGTCACTGAAGAAGCCCTTATCTCCCTTAAGGGAAGCTTAGGAAGAACCTTCTGGGTAAGAGAATGGTATGTGCAAAGAACACTCAAGAAAACTGCAGGATTCGGTGAGTGGGCAAAGGACGCCTCGGGTGGACAGAGGAGATGAACCAGAACTGAGAGTGAGGATGGAACAGGATACGCGGTCTGCGGTTCAAGGACACACTTTTAGGACATGAACACCCCAAACCGTCACCCACCACGTCACCCTGAGGTCCTCACCTGGGGTCTCTGACAACTGGCCCTCTACCAAACTGTGGCCACCCTGGATGCCAGAGACAGGAGAGCTGTAAGAACAGCTGGCTCTGAGCCCCTATGTTCATGTCTGCCTTCCCAACTATTTCCAAGCACCAAGCACTACCTGCCACTGCGTCGGGGGCTAGCTCGGCTCTGGGAGACTGCCTGAAATGAACACATAAAAAGTATCTGATTAGCACAGTGCAATAAATGTCCCTTCCTCCAGCATCTAAAGAACAGTCCTCTTAAGTAGGTTAAGGGCACCTCTACAACGCTGTCTTCAAGACCCAGTTTTGCAACCTTCGGCTCCAAATCGCCCACATTTTGGACGAGTGACCACAGAGTTCCAAACTCTTCCTTATATCTTCCGGCGAGGCCCTCTAGGACCCTCTGAGTCAGAGCTGAGACTTTCTAGGTCACCCTCAGGGCAGGCTCCAAGCTGGGGTGTGGTCTTAAGCCTCTCACATCCCAAAAGCAGGCTGGGGGTTCTGACATCCCAGGGTCTGTTCCTTAAGCCCTGGTCCCTCTTGAGAGAGGTCAGAGTCCACCTCACACCCTCCTGAAGCCTGCACTGGGTGGCTCAGGATGGCCACCTGACTGACTCCATCCTTGCTGCCCTGTGCCCAGCCCCTCCCGGTGAGCAGCCAGCAGCCTCCCAGCCACTGCCTCCTGCTCCGGTATTAAAGATAATCAATACCGGTGCCCTTTCCCTCTGGGAATGACACTGCTGAAACAATCGGGTTGCTCTGAGGCACCTCCCAAGGCCAATGCGAAGGAGTAAGCAGTCCTAGCCACGGGGTCACCAAATACACGGAGGAAGATGCTGACCAGAGCAGTGAGAGCAGCTTTTGACCACCCCTGCCTTCTGCAGTGAGCAGTAAGAGAAGCCCTAGCAAATGCCCACTCTTCTAGAAGCTGTCTGGATCCGCACCTCACCCTGCTGCCAGGCCCAGGCAACCCGAGGGCAGCCCCAAACCCCACATCATCAGTAGGTACCACACTCCATCCAAGGCCTGTGGTTCCCCCACAGGTCAGGCAGGGAGACCCCCTACAAGGTATGCTCCCTGATTCCAGCTGTGATGGGGACACAGGAGCCTCCCACCCCATGTCTGGTCCTGGGAATCTGGGTCACAGGGCCAGGGGTCCAGATCTCGAGCCCAGTCCAGCACCTACCAGGAGGGCAGAACTCTCAGCTGTGTGGTCCTCCTCTTCCCTGACCCAGACCAGGGCATTGTCCCTTTCCCTGGCCCCAGATGAGGCTGGAGAGCCCAGGAGAGGTACCAAGTCCATCATTCCCAGGGACTCAGGATTGGGGGTGGGCATCAAGCACCCTGTGGGCACTCCAGCCCAGCTTCCCAGCCCATCTGCAGGAACTCAGAGACTGCCCCTATAAGGGGCAACCCAACTTGCTCATCTGAACCCTTTGTGTCCCCCCTCCCTCTGCCATGCTGAGTCTCCCTTCCCAGGAATTCAGATGCCACCGTCTGGCCAGCCCCCTCCCGGGAGACTCCAACAGGAACCACCATGCTGGGGCAGTACTCGCTGTGTGGGACTCAGTCTGCAAGTGTGGGGCAGGGGCCAGGCAGGAGTCGGCCCAGCCCGAGGAAGGCAGAGGTGGGGGGAGCCGGGGCCGCAGCCTTCCCAGCCCCCTCGGCTCCCACACTGGCGCCTGACGCCTTGAGCAGCACAACTGACCTCATTCGCCAACTGCAGCAGCCTGCGGCCGCCCGCTGCCCGCCCGAGGAGCCCCCACCTCCGGAAGGGCCAGGGGTGACAGCTCCTGGCTTGCACCCCCTCCCGGCAGGTGGGGGAGGCCATCCCTCCCCTCCTCTCCCCCGGCCCAAATTATAATCCCAGTCACGTGCCTCTCAATGCACCCAAAAGCCGGACCCAGATTCTGTAACACCTTGAGGGGGAGGGGCGGGGGCCACTGGGGTGGGAGGAGAGGGGAGAAGGGCCTAGGCGCCCGCCCCCCCTCAAAAGTTTCTCCTACCTTGGAGGATCCCCAAGCGCTCCTGCCAGCGGCGCCCCGGCCCCGGCCCGCGGCCAGGACACAGCCTCCTGCCGCTGCCTCCTTAATTAATCCGGGAGAATGGGGGACGGCGCGCACGGCGGGGGCGGGCGGGCGCGGGACGCGGGCCGGGGAGGGGGCCGCGGCGGGGGCTCTCGGCCGGCCGGGGGGCTGGCGCTCGGCGGCCCCCACCCCCGGCGCGGGCTGCGGCGGAGGGCGGGGCGCGGCGCGGGGAGCGGAGCCGAGAGCGGGAGCGCGGGGAGGCTCTTTGTTCTGTAATCCCAGTAAGATTGCCAGTCATTCGCCCCGGCCCTAATCCCAGCCCCGCGCAACACCACCCTCCATTGGCTGTCATTTACATACGGGATTAGCCCGCCCGGCCCGCCCCGCGCCCAGGCCTGGGCACCGCGGGGGGAGCGCTGCTCCCCCGCCCAGATCTCCACTCCCCACGCGCGCGCCGCCCTGGCGCGCGCCGCCCCAGCGCCCGCCGCCAGGGGGGCCTGCGGGAGGGGCGTCCGCGGCCTCGGCGCCCCCTGGCTGCCCAGCGAGGCCCCTCCATCGCCGCAGCGCTGGCCAGGGCGGATTAGGAAACTGGGGCGCAGGGACCTGGTCTCAGGGTCAAGGTCATTCAGCGGGCACAGGGAGGATCCTAGGAGGAGAGTCCAGGGCCTGGAGCGACCGTAGGCCCGGCGCGTCGTCTGGGGATACTGAAGTCAGCGCAGCTGGTCACTCCAGCCTTGTCCAGGTTATCTTCCGGTGGCTTGGCCCAGGTACCTCTTTCAGTCTTTGTACCCCTGGGATGTGAAGGAAAGTGGTGACAGGTCCAAGGTCTCAACAGATCCAATTGGACATACCATGTCTCATCTTGTCTGGGCAGCCCTCCCCCTGATCCCCTGACTCAGGTTTTTGTCACCACTTTTCCCCACCATCACAGATGTCCTACCAAATCAGAGAGCACGGGTCCCATCCTCTCCAAGACCATACATGTTAACTCAGCACAAGGAGCATCCGGAGCCCTAGCTATGCAGGACACTGCCGGGAGGGTCACAAATCAGGCAGGCCCCACCCCCAGGGAGCCCCTGGTTTACATGGAGAGAGCCACATGTACATTCAGAATCGACTAGGTCCTGGCAAAACCCACAGGGGTCTACCCGTAGCACTTGGTAAAGGCTAACCTTGGCTAGGCAGGGCTCCCCTGACAAGCCCACAAACCTGTTAGCCTGAGAGCTCCTCCCAGGAAGACCATGTTGGCAATGCCCAGGCCAAGGCAGAGCCCAGAGGGGCTCCTGTGCCCATTGGATGTCTTGCCCACAAGAGGGTGTTGGCCAGAGAAGTGGGGATTAGGAATGAGCCACAGACACTCCCTCCATTCCTGCTGCCTTTTGCCCCCTTGGGGTACCTCCTCATCTCCCTCATCACCAAAAGGCCTGGGGACACTTAGAGGTATTCTGTGGTGTGGTCCCTCTCAGATCAATATCCCTACCTGCCCTGTACAATCCCTGGCATGGTAACCTGGCTGACAGGAAGAGCCATGGTCAGGAGCCTGACTGTTCAGGTTCAAATCCTGGCCCTTCCTCTCACCACTGTGACCTTGAGCAAAGCACTTCACCTCTCTGAGTCTCCATATCCCTTCCTGAGGCCTCTCAGTCAACCTTAGTGTGGCTGCAGGTTGGATAAAAGTGATGATGGCCACGTTTGTTAAGCGTCTGTCAGCTGCTGGGTATATTGCATATAAGATCTATTCCTTGCACTAAGCCTGCAAGGGGTGTCCTATTATTGGCCTCCTTTTACAGTGAGGTGAAGTGACTTGCTTAGGAACATACAGCCTGTAGGTGTCACTGCTGCAGCTGGTTCCATATCGCGCGACATCTTTCGCCTTTGACCAGTGGTCCCTCCTTCACATCCACACCTACCCAGGAGGCACTGGGAGTAAGGCCAGCCTCTGTGGGCCTGGCTGGGGAAAGTTGATCTCAGGAAGGGCTGGCTGGCTATGCTGTTGGTTTTTGGGCAAAGTGCTTCCCGGACCCCAGCTCCTAAGGCAGAGCGCCAAAAACCTCTGAAGCCAAGGGTCTAGAGGAGGTGAGGACTGGTATAGGCTCAGTACTGCCTTCTGCAGGCAGAATCCAGAGCAGCAATAATACGAGTGAACTGTGCAGGGTGGATGCCACCCTTCTGCTCTAGCCTCTCTTCCCTGTGGGAGCAGACAGCCTGACCTTCACCTTGTCCAAGCAGAGACTGGGAGCAGTGTGGTACAGCAGCAAGCTCTGGCCTGGCATGGCTAGGCCCCACTCAGCCGCATGTGACTGGGGCATGACAATGACTGGCTCCTGGTTCACTGGTTGTGTGTCCTAGGCCTCTCTGGGCCTCAGCTCCCTCATCCGTAAAATGGAGCTAAAATAGTCCTTCATAAGATTGCTGTGAGAATCAAATGATGTATAAATCAGGAAAAATGTTTCGTATAATGCCTGCTACACAGTGGGTGCTCAATGAAGGGTCATTCTCAGTGGTTTTAATTTGTTGGCTTCACCTAGGGACGAAGTCAGACTAAAAGTCTTTTCTTGAACTGCTCTTCCTGGGGAGGTAGAAATGCTAAGGACAAGGTCATGGACTTACACACTTTTGTTCTGCTCTGTTCCTTCTCCTGAGAAAGGCAGCAGTGGCTCCCTCAGCTGCAAGGAGAGTTCAGCTACTCCCCACTCTCAGGAACTTCTCCTGCCAGGCCTATGAATCACCTTTGCCCTGGCCCTACCACATGCTACCCCAGGCCTGGCCAGGCCCCCCCTCCCATGCAGGGGTGGAAACGGGCTCCTCTGGCTGCGTTCCTCCAAACAGCCTTGAAGCTACAGGACTTTTCCCATGGCAGAGCCCTTTCTATGCCCTTGTTCACTTAACCAGGTGGGCCTCGCAGTCCCCATTTCACAGATGGGGATGTAGGTCACCGGGTCATTAGCAGAAGTGCATGAGTGTGTATGTGGGTGTCCTGTTACCCCACCAGCCCAGGATGCCCAAGGCAGAAACTGGTCTCTCCCTCCTGGGCTGGTGTGCACGTTCCAGGTTCTCTGACCAGAAGCCTGGCTACCAGGGGCCCATATGGACTCAGCCCCTGCTCCCCTGGGGCTTTGTACAGACCCTGAGACCCCGACCTCCTTCATGAATACTTCCCTACAATTCTGGGCCAATTCTGGCTCCTTGTTCTTTGGAGGTAAGACTCCATAGGGGAGAGGGCAGGTAGAGGGACAGCCCAGCCATCCCCAACAAGGTTACCCTTCTCTGAACATTATGGCAAACCCAGAGGGTGCCTGGGCTGTGTTGCCCTGGGTGTGACCACAAGGAACCAAAGGTAAGGACAGAACCCCAAACCCTCAGCTTCTGGGTAAGCAGACTGCAATCCCGAGAGATGCAGGACTGACCACAGCTGCCCAGGGGTGTGAGTGGCAGGCTGGACCCCAGGACTGCCCATCCCCACCTGCCATTCCTTTGTACCATCTCTGTGGCTTTTCTTGTGTTTTTGGGAATATGGTTTTATCTGGTAATTGCTATTTACCCTTTAAAAATGAGACAAATGGCTTCTGGAATGAACAGCTATTTTCAGAGCAGCATATCTCCTATTCCATCATGGAAGCCCAAGGAAACATAAAATTCGATGTTTGGAAATAGGTTTTCAAGGCAGCATGCAGGGTCTATGAAAGAAGGGCAGACCAGGGGGCCGTAGACTCGGTCACCTGGGTGTTGCATGTCCTGAGCCCGGGCGCTCAAGTGTTGTGAAGGCTGCAGAGGAGCAGAGGGTAGGTGATGGGCTTGGCTTGGGCCCCCCTCCTCAGTCTCTGACCCAAATCTCCAACCCCCTCCCCCAGTGAAGGGCCATCCCTCAGGCCTCCTGGCATCACCTTTCATTCCCTGCCTGGGCTTCATTTTCCTGGAGCTTTGTCTCTGTGGCTTCTCCAGGCTGCTAAGGGCAGAAATCATTCCCCTCACTGGAGTACCTGATAAGCACAGTAACCTCTCAGAGTCCTCCAAGCCGTCTGGAATCCGAAAAATAAAGCCCCAGTGTTGGGACTTCAGGCAGCCTGACAAGCTGGGGCGGGGACAACTTGGACCCGGAAAGGTTTTCCTTTAGGACCCGGATGGAGCTGCAGCCCCCGCCCCCCACCCCAGGCCCTAGGGTTGGCCCTGTGGGCGGTCTGGGGCAGTGCTGGCCGAAAGCAATAGGATGTGAGAGCCACAAACACACACTTCAGGGGAAATTTTAAATCTCCCAGTAGCCATGTTAAAAAAGTAAAAAGAAACAGGTGAAGTTAATTTTAGTAATATATTTTATTTTAACTGATACATCTAAAGTATGCTCATTTCAACATGTAGCATTTTTAAAAATGGAAGTATTTTATATTTTTCCCCTTGTCCTAGGCCTTTGCAATTCAGTGTCTGTTTTACACTCACAACACATCTCAGTTTGGAAGAGACAGACCTCACTACGTGACCAGCGGCTACAGGTTGGGCAATGCAGGTCCGGGGGATACTTTTCCAACCCCTTTTATGCTGCAGAGACTTTTTCCAATAGACTCTTCACGTAGAAAGCTAGTCCATAGGCGAGAACTGCCCCTCAGAGCAGACGCTGGAAATACTAGTGATGATATAACTGGCATTTACTGAATGCTTACTCTAAGCCAGGCATGGTGCTAAACCTCTCGCATCATGCTCATTCTAGGGGAGAAATAAGCTCGGGTTGGTGCCTCAGGTTAGATAGTCGGCTTCCCGTGTCCCACATCCCGAGGACAGTGGGACTCACTGAGGCTGCCTGTGCGGCTGGTGTGCCACCCGCCCGTGGGGCCGGGGTGCCGCCCAGGTGGGAGGAGCTGAGACAAGTGGGGAACGAAGTTACCGCCTTTTTCATCACCCCCCATGAGGGGCCCCTGCGTCCCCAGCCCCAGCACCACCAGCCTCTCAAACCTGGCGGGAACCAGCAGGCTTGGTTTTCCAGCAAGGACCAGGCAGCTGCTCTACTAAGTGTATTTAGTAATAGTTATAAATTAGTGAATATTTGCAACAACTTCAGGGCCGGAAAAGGAAAAACAAGGGAAAAGCACTTCAAAGAAACTCCCCCAGACACTGTTGGCAAAAACCAAGGTTTGTGGGGAAGCGCTGGGGGACTTCCCCGCTGTGTGTGCGGCAGGGAAGGGGGGGAGAGAGGAGCCACGAAGCAGACAGGCATCTTCTCTCTGCTAGTGAGTGGAACTTAGCAGCATCTTTTGGGGGTGGTTTCTTCTCTGAGCTTCAGTTTTCTCATCTGCAGAGTGGGTTTCTATCACAGCCTAAGGCCTACAGCAAACTCAGCCCCAGCCCTGGTGAGAAGTCTGGGGCAGCGTGGACAGGGGACCCGATGTAGCCAGTAGACCAGCCAGAGCTAGGGGTCGTGTGGGAGCATCTTCCATCTCAGCTCAGGTACTGACTGTGGGGGACCTGGGCCTCAGTTTTCTCGCTTTGTGTGCTAGTAAGAGCATATGTTCAGTCCTGGCCAGGTAGCTCAGTTGGTTAAAGCATTGCCCCAAAACGCCAACATTGTGGGTTCAAAGCCCAATTGAGGCACATACGAGAATGAACGGATGAATGTGTGAATAAGTGGAGTAACAAATCAACGTTTCTTTCTCTCCCTTCTTCTTTCTAAAATCAATTTTTTTAAGTTTAAAAAAAAAAAAGAGCACAGGCCCAGACCCTTCCAGCAGATGTGTTGGTTCAGACATGAGGGGAAGGGGAGAGGCCTGGGGCTTTGCATTTTAGAACAGAGTCCCCGGCTCTTTCTGATATACATGCAAGTTTGGGGAGTTGGCCTCCATGTCTCAGAGAGCCGTTCATGCTCTGGCACGTGTGGTCCAACCACACAGCCACACAGTACCAGCCCTCAGCCACATCCCTTGTGCCATGGGGCACTCGGTGCTGGCTCCTCTGTCACTGGCTGCCAGACTGGCCCTGAGATGGTAGGGCCCGGATTCCACACCAAGCACACCCTCTGCACCCTGCGCCGTGTGCGCCCATCCCTGGACCTGGGAGCTCTGGACCAGCAGAAGGGGCCCTTGGCACTGCAGCCAGCGGGGGCACCCAGTTCAGCCTGAGGAGCGATGAGGGTTTCTGAGGCCCCACGGGAAATGGTGAACCAACTGGACTCCGGCCTCCATGCCACAGACCCATGAGTTCAGGGCCCCAGGACATGCTAAAATAGTTCTCTTCCACCCCAGGATTTTCTGGGAACCCAGGGCCCTACGGCACCCTCCTCACCCCCAGAGAAGGCTTATCACACTAGTCTTCCTTTCTCCCCCACAAGCCTTCCTCAGCCACCGCCGTCTGAGGGGCGGTCTGGCCCACGCCTCGGTCCGAGTTCTCGGTTTTGCATCAGTAAATGAAAGTGGGCCTTCACGCAGCGTCTTTGCATACTCAGTCCTTGTGGACCCAGGGCCCTGCCTGTCCCCTCCGGTCAGCCCCTCATTCCCCTCGTCCTCCAGATCTCATCCTTCCGGCCTGCACCCACCCCACAGAGACCCTGAGGAGCTCTGAGCACATGGCCTTGTTGAAATTTCACATTCGGTGAGCAATTATTTGATTCCTTTCTTACTCACCACTAAACTCTAAGCTCATGTGAGGGTAGAGGTGGTTGGGCATGGTTCTTGTGCATTTTGGTGTCCCCAGCACCCAGCCTGGCGCACAGTAGGGCTTTGTAAACATTTTCTGAATGAATGAATGAAAGAAAATAGGGCCCTGGCTGGTGCGACTCAGTGGATTGAACACTGGTTTGTGAACCAAAAGGTCACCGATTCGATTCCCAGTCAGGGCACATGTCTGGGTTGCTGGCCAGGTCCCTAGTAGGGAGGATGTGAGAGGCAATCACACATTAGTGTTTCTCTCCCTCTCTTTCTCCCTCCCTTCCCATTTTTCTAAAAATAAATAAAGTAAAAATCTTAAGAAAAGAAAATAGGATTCATCTGTCTGCCCTCAGGTGACTTGTTGGACTTTGTTTTCTCTCTACTTCTCTCCATCTGTTTGTTGCTGTTTTTTGGGGAAGCTCTCTCCAACAAAATATGTGTGTGAGTGTGATTCCATGTCCTGGTTGCTGCCTTGGCCTCTGTCCCTCCTCCGTTTTCTTTCCGTGTTTGATCCTAGCTGTCTCCCTCGGTTGTCTCTGTCTTCGTCTCTCCTTGTAAATCAGCTCCATCTTTCCTGGGATCCTTGCTGTCCTCGCTCCCTCTGTGCCTTCAGCTCCCAGCTCTCTCGGGTTTGTCATTTCTCTCTGTCTCTGGGGCTCTGTCTCTTTTGCTGGGGGTCTCCATGTCCATTGCTCTCTGTCTCTCTCTCCTCGACCTCTGTCTCTGTTGCTGCTGCTCTCTGCCTCCTCCTCCGGCTCTGTCTGCCGGAATCTTTCAAGAACAGCAAGAGGCATGTAATTGAGCTGGGGCCGTCTCCATGGTTGCAGCTGTGGAGTAACTGAAAGATCAATTTGGAATGACTGTCTCTGTAATAATTGTGCCTTAATAGTTTCTGTGAGGCAGAGTGGGGCTCTGTGTGAGGTGGCCAGGACCGCCCTGGGACCCTGGCATGAAAAGGCCACCTAGGGCCCCCAGTATCCCTGGGCAGGCTGCGGAGAGGACACTTGGCCTTGGCCAGAAACAGGAGGAGGGTGGGAGCGGGTGAGTGGGAAGGGAGGCCAGTCTCAGCCCCCCACGCCCTCCCTGAGGTATTCCTGCCTCTCTGCTCCTACCCGCTGTGCCCCACTCCTGTTTATAATTTATGCTTATGATCAGAATTATCAGGAATAATGATAACATGATTATAATTGCTGAGCTGCCTGGTTCAATTGCAGTGCTGTTGGTAAATATTATGATAGAGAGTAGCATGAGGTCACTGCCTCCCAGAGCTTGAGCGATGGCGTGGGGGATGGGAGTGCTGCACCGGTCACAGGCCCCCGCCCTTGCTTCCAGCCAGGCCCACCCAGCCCTCCTCGGAGAGCTCACCGCTCCCTCACTTCCTCATCCATTTTAACAACCAACAATCCTCCCCATGTCTAACTCAAATCATTCCTGCTTAGGCTCAGCAGTAGCCTTCAGACGGCTGTTAGGTGTGGAGGTATGTCATCTGCCGCCCCACCAACAGAGGGCACTCCAGAGCCGTGGCGTGGCTTCCACCTGGAAAGTGAGGTGACTCAGAGAGGATGGTCCTTTCACACCTGGGTTAAGTTTGACTGGTGACTCGGCCCCACAGGAGCTCAGAGGGGTCTTGGCAGAGGGCTAAGGAACAGGATAGTGCCACAACCCTAGGCACAGGTCCTGAGAGATGGGGGACATTTCTGGCACCCAAGACCCCCTTATGCCTAGGAGAAGTGAGGCTGGAGGCCCAGGGTAGCAGCAAAGATTGCAACCTGCCTTAAACATACAAGTAGCCCCTTTTAGAGAGCTCACCCAGAAAACCCAAGAACAGCGAGATATGCCCGCTGCTCCCCCCACGAACTGAGCCCCCTGAGTGCCAGTGGGACTGGGCCCTCCCCCTGCCTGTGCCCGCCAACAGCCTGGGATCACCGTCAGTCTCTGCTGCTATGAAGTCCATGCTTAGGAAAGGCTGGTGGGCTGAGTCTGTGAGGCTATGAGCAAGGACACCGAGGCGGCACTCAGGACGGGACCGCTGTCCATGGCCACCCTGTGGGTGGCAAGGGGAAGCTCAGTGCCCCTCGTTAATCTGCAGCCTCTAAGGCGCAGAGAGACTTGCCCCATTGCAGGGGGCAGCAAGTGACGGGGCGGGGTTTGCCCAGTGCCCGCTAGAGGTGACTTGGAGCCTCCCGCAGGACGAGCCAGCCAGCACGGCCCCAGCCCCTGGTGCACTGCATTATTCATAAGCCCCACATCCCCCCCGGGGTAAACATTCAGAAGGAGCGTTTCAAATCCACTTGCCTGCTCTGAAAATAAATGAGCAGAGAATGCCGGCACATGCGGAGGTGGCGGGCCCAGACTCCTCCGAGCCCTGGGAACGCTCACAGATGGCCTATTTCTGTCCCTTCACCCGGGGCTCCTGAGTGGCGGGGCCGAGACCCATGAGCTTGGCCAGCAGGGCCAAGCCTAGAGCAGGCTCTGAAGCCAGATGCCCCTCTTTGCCCACTTTTCCTGTCCCGGCCTGGGGGCAGCCCCACCCCCCACATCCCTGGTCACTGTGACTCTTGGGACCTGTTGGTTCCTGGGCAGTTGGCACAACCTGGGGATCCTCCAGGAACTAAGGAGTGGGTCAGGCCCAGAGAAGGCCTTGGATCCTGGCCAGAATGAGACAGATACACACTTAACTGGTGCTTTTATGGCCTACAAAATGAAGAAAAGAGGCACCATGCTGCTGTTTCCATCATGTGGAGGATGCCCCAGAGCCTCCCGTCTCCCCGAGCTGCCTCTGCACTTCTCCACCATCCCCGCCCCAGAGAGGCTCGCCACGCAGGAGCCCTCTCCCACATCAGCACTGATTTTTGAAAGGAAGTCAGTGCTCTGGACCAAGGTCACAGAAAATGGCCTTGGTTGCAACAGCAAGGGAACTGCCTGTCTGAAGTTCTAGAGGCGGTGTGGGTTGGTCAGGGATGGGCTGGGTGGAAGCTGCACCTTCAGGGCTGGACTGCTCGGATACGAGAGGAGACGGGAAGGTATAAAGTGTGGAAAAAGACATTCAGCGAACTCGTCTGTTCCAGCCCTGTAGGAGCCAGCAGAGCTTGTGTCCCTGTTCCCCAGGTGATGAGGGGAGCAGTATGCAGACACAGACTCACCTGCTGAACCTCCCTCCTGAATCCTTGTAACCACAGGTCCTACCCCGCACCAGTGAGCTGAGTGTGGCTGGATTTGAGCCCCCATCTGCCCCTAGGCACAAACCACCTACTCACCACGGCCCCACCTGCCAGGTTCCCCAAGGCTGAGGGCCAGGACCCTTTGAGATCTCAGAGTGGAAGTGTCCTTCAGGTGACACATGGGGACTATTCACTCCACCCCAGAGTGGGGAGGCAGGAGTTGGCTGTGCAACTGTAGGTGAGTCTCTTCCCCTCTCTGAGCCTAGGTTCCTTCATTTGTAAAGTGAGAAGAGTTATCTAGCATTCTACTGAATCTCTCATGGCTTCCTTCTAAATGGTCTAAAAGGGGCCATCTAACAGAACCAAAGGGAACCCAGAGATTAAGAGAAAGAGCGTGTTGGCCTAGTGGTTAAGAGTGCAAATCCCAGCTCTGCCCCTAGTTAGCTGTGTGTCTTTGGACAAGTAACCTCACCTCTCTGTGCATCAGTGACTTCACTCATCAGATGGGGACAAGGAGTTTGCCCACCTGAGGAGGTGCCACGGGAGCTAAGTGAGTTCCTGGGTGCAGTCTGGCGCATAGAAGGCTCCGGGGCATAGCTGCAAGGGCCCCTCTCCCCAGCCTCGGCCCCAGCCCCCTGCAGCCTGAGGGACCCTAGTGGGGATGCAGGGCAGACACCAGAGAGGACAGACACACTGACCGTCTAGACCTGCCGTGCTAGGCCTCGGTGACACCAGGCTGCCACCACAGTCAGCCCGTCATGCTCAGCACCCCAGCTCGGCATCTACCTAAAGCAGAGCTGCTTTCTGCTTGTTTTCAGAGCTCACCGCCTCTAGGCCACCAAGCCCCTGCCTCCTGGGCCCTCCTTAGAGGTGGGCCTCCACCTTTCTGCACATCTGGGTCTCCTGCCTGGGCTCCTTGTGCGCAACACCCAGCTCTGAGGAGCAGTGTGTCCAGGCCCACACCACCTGAAGCCCTGCTGGACCTGGGGCTTCCTGTCACTGTTGACAGCTGGGACTGTCCCCAGACTCCTGGTCTTTTCCAGCAAGCTGTCCCCACAAGGCCCGGACTCTGGTCTGGTTCTCTGCTCCATGCCCTGCACCCAGACACCTGAAGAAGTTCAGTAGATGTGTGCTCACTGAATGGGGGGTGGGCAGGCCTCTCTAGAGGCTGGACCTAGAGCCCTAGGGCTGCCCATCTCTGAGGTGTGGTCTTCCATGCTTGTCTTGCGATGGGGCCCCTGGGGCTGGGGCTGAGGCTTCCTGGAGCTGCTGCTCAGGTGGACACGTGCCAGGGCCAGCCAGGCACTCAGCCCCGAGGCTCCTGGGTGGATGACCCCTCCTGGGTGTCCTCAAAAGCCCCTTGTCTGCCTGCCAACATTCTGTTCACCTCTCCAGACACAGCTTTCCTGTCACTGCCCCCAGGAAGGCGTCCCCAACCTCAGGCTTGTCAGCTGCCTGTCTGGGCCCCACAGGTCCCCAAGCACTCTGCCCCTCCTCAACCTGCTTTGCAGAGAACTGGACAGAGAAGGAAGAGAATACCACACAAGACATGCCTCTCTTCCTGCCGGGCCACTGGGTGGTCCCTACCCGGGCCGGCCCTACTGTGTGCCTGCAGAACCAGAATGTGCAGCACACAGTCAGCGAGCTGGGAAAGTGTGTCCTTGACGTTCTAACGCACAAAACAGTTTCCTTCCCCCCGGGGCGTCTCTCTCGACTTCTCATGGTGGTTTCTTTTTTGTTTGTTTTGATTTGCTATTTGATGTCATGCTAAGTAAAGAAACGTGAAAAATTTTAATTATTCACATCTTGACATCTCATCCTGTACCACTTATCTTTGTATTGTTCAATGCCAGGCTGGAACGCCACTGTGAGAGCGTGTAGCTCACATGTGGAATCATCCAGTTTGCACAGTTCATACTTCGGCTTGTATGTGCCTGTGTGTTTCAGTCCCACCCCAGCCGTGGAGACACCACACAAAACCAACGTGGCCGTTTTTACCCAGCGCCCGCTACCTGTGGCCAAGGACGGGGAAGGACTGAAAGGAAAAGCGAGTACGAGTTGCCCCATCTTTCCTTTTCCTTCCGTGTCACCCTTTCGGCTGACATCAGCGAGTAACGAGCTAGTAAGGGTGTGGCAGGGCTCCCTGGTCGTCCTTTGTGTTTCCCGGAAAGCCGTTGCCTTTCTGCATTTGGCCAGGGTCAGCTTTGAAAGAAAGCAGCGCCTCTGAAGGCTCTCCAGGGCTCCCTGATAGGACGCGCTTACCTTGGACTTGCTTGGTCTTGCCCACTCCTGCCTGTCCTGGGTCCCCGGGACTCCATTCCCGGGGGGCGTCCCCAGCGCTGTGTGTCGCTATGGTGATGTGGAACAGGAACACGCATGTTCTGGGTGACCCTCTGTTCCCATTCCTTCTCATCGTCCTGCTGGTCTTCACTTAGAGAGCACACAGTCAGAGCTGAGATTACTGAGACTTTCCAAGATAGCAGCAGCAGGTGAGCATTTAACTAAGCACGGACCAGGGAGCCAGCCCTGCCGAGGGGAGCACGATTTGCTCATCTGCCTGTTTGCACACGCACCCACAGGACTACATTTTCCTGCTAGAACCCTAGGAGCCCAGCCCAGGCCTGACTGGGCCCCCCGCCCAAGGCCGGTCAAAGCCACTGTCCCCAGTATGGTCTCCCCCATTCATGGGCCCAAGCTTCAGCTTCCAGAGCCCATTTGCTTTCCGCTGTGCCCAGACCTCCTCCCTCCCACCCAGAAACCAGAAACCCGCCTCTCTACCCCTGCTGCTCACCGTCTGTGCGAACTTGGGTGGGTGCCTCCCCTCTCTGAGACTCGGCGATGCCGTTGGCTCCCTGACTCCCACTGTGAGCTTGTCACCTGCCAGGCACAGGAGCCGCTGTCGTTCTCTCTCACCCACCTCTCTGCTGCACTTGGGGACAGTGCAGGGAAATGTCAGTGCTCACGGTCACGTAGATTTCATCTCCGGGACTGGGGCAGCCTGGTCCCCTCCCAGTCTGGGGGCAGGGACGTTTATCCCACAGTGCTTTGGTTCCCTTCCCAGTTGGAGTTTCCACTGGCACAGCTGCATTTTCAGCACCGGGACTGTGTTTGTATTTAGGTCAGGCCTGCCTTTTTTTTAAAGATTTTATTTATTTATTTTTAGAGAGAGAGGAAAGGAGGGAGAAGCAAAGAGAGGGAGAGAAACATCCATGTGCAAGAGAAACTTCGATCATGCCTCTCACATGCACCCAAAACGGGACCTGGCTGACAACCCAGGCATGCATCCTAACCGGGAATTCAATGGGGAACCTTCCATTTTGTGGGATGATGCCCAGCCCACTGAGCCATACCAGTCAGGGCTAGGTCAGGCCTATTTTAATTCTGCTGGGCTGCTGCTGGGCTGAGGTGGCCTTCCGGGGCTGACACAGAAGTACTGGGTTGGCTCAACTCAGCTGAGCTGCGGAGAGTGTGAGGAAGTGGCAGAGGGGGGAGGGAGGGAGGAAGGGGTAGGTGGCTTCAGACCCCAAACTCTGGCCCATCTGAGACCCCTCCACCCTGTCCCTTCCTGGTGGAGACCCCTGACACACACTTCTCTGGAGAGGAGGGGGCATGGTCCATGTTCTACCAGCATGCAGTATGATTTTTGGCAGGTGACGCCCTCTCCTGCCTCAGTTTCCTCACCTGTGTCACTAAGGACAGCTTTGATGATGCTAGCCAGCATGTCCAGGTCCTTGTGTCCTTATGATTAAGAGCACAGGCTGGTGTCCTAGTGCTGCCACTTGCTAGTTGTGTGACTCTGTCGAGTCACAAGACCTCTCTGTGCTCAGATGTCCCCAGCTGCAAAACGGGGATAAGAATAGTGCCACTCTCAAGAGACGACTGGGAGATGACAGAAGGCATGTGAAAGTGGTCACATGGCCCCCACCTGGCGACTCGGGAACTGCTCTGCGAGAGGTAACTTGTGGTAGTGATGCTGTATTTACTGCTGGTCACCCACGCGAGGCGCCCCTCACCTGCCCGTCCCTCCTCAGCCCCGACTGAGCCATAGACGCGGGGTCCTCGTCGACATTCTGACCGCCAGGCTCCGTACCAAGCCTGAGTAAACCTACCTGCGCCTATCTCCAGATCTGGTAATTAATACCCTTGATGGTTTTTATTGGAATGAGGCAGGACCTGCACATGACTTGCTTTTTAATTAACAACCAGTCTCCATCCTCACTCCCCTCCCCTCCCCCTGATGTCCTTGAGGACAGAGTTGCCCAGGCCTGTCCAACTATGTCTAGAGGGAGGGGTGCCTGGCAGGGCACAGGGAGGTGGCCCTTGGTCATTCCTCCACATGAACCCCAGCCCTTCCCTCTGCAGATCGGAAGAGCCAGCTCTGGGTGAGGCCAGGACCAGGGAATGTCCAGACAGGGCCCCAGACTCAGGAGCAAGAAGCCCAGACCCACAGACACGCTGATGCCAGGAGCAGGCGCTACCGGAGAAGTCTCCGGAAGAGCAGAGCCAGAAACAACCAGCTCAGCCTAGACGTGCTGGGGAGGTGCCTCTGAGCTGCTGCTTGAAGGGCGACTGTAGCTGTCCTGCTGGAAAAGGGAGATGCTGCTGATCCAGGCAGCAGGAATGGCCTATGTGAAGGCTCAGAGTCGGGTGAGGCCCGACTGATCAGAACGGGTATTCCCTTAGCCAGCGCGACGGGAGCTCGCAGGACGTGCTGGGAGAGGAGGAGACCTGGCAGGATCTTCCTGTCAAGTGCTTAGACCTTCCTCCTGAGGGCAACGGGCAGCCTCACAGGTTATATACGGAGGAGCAATGTGGTCAGATCTGATTTTTAGAGTCATTGCCTGGGTGTCCAGTGTATGAAAGAGACTAGTGGGAGCAGGACGGCAGCAGGGGTCCCCGGCTGTTGGGGGCAGGGCCGATCTGACTCTGAGGCCTGGTCACCCCACCAAGGGCCCAGGAGCCTGGACCTTCTTGGGGCAAAGGGCCTGACAGCCTCCCTCCACTCCCAAAGCCACCTCCTTCCTCCTGCTATTTTTAATGTAGCATCTTGTTCAGATTCAAATGAGCATCTCCAATCTGGGCTCCTTTGCATAATTTCCCTCAATTAACATTTCCCAGATGCCAAAGAGGGCAGTACCCCCCCGCCCCACCCCTGCAACTGGGTCCCCCTCACTCTGGAGGGACCAGACTTCTCAGGAGAGGCTCACACTCCCAGCATCCTGAACGCTGGGTCCCACCCAGACAGGGACTTGTTGAGCTTGACTGAATGCTCTTGGGTGGGCCCTCTGCCTCTCGGGGCCTCAGTGTCCCCATTTTTGAAATGAGGGGGCTGGCTGCATGACTTCTAAGGAGCTCTGCTCACTCCAGGCTCAGAAACCACACACAGTCTACTTTCCTCCAAGTAAATGTGTAGAGATGATGAACCCATTTAACAGACGAGAAAACTGGGACCCAGAGCACTCGGGGCTTTGGTGGCAGAATTAGGCCGTCCTACCATCTCACCCAGTAGGGTGTCCTGAGCTCTATGGGCTCCCAGGTTATTTGGGGAGACCAGATGCCCCTGGGAAAATGATGAAAGGAAAAGTGAGGCAAGCCAGAGCCACAGCCCCCAAGAACTGGGACGGCCAGAAAGCCTTCCTTTTTGTTTCCCACGTCTCAGCACCGAGAAGTCTTTCCAGGTCTCTCGATTCCTTCAGCTGCTTTGTTCCTCACTGTGCCTGTCGCCCACCGTTACCTGATCCCCTCAGGCAGTCCTCTTCTCCCAGGACGCTCTGGTCTCCTCCCTGGACTGAGGCTTCGCCAAGGGCAGGGGTGGAACCTTCTTTGCTCCTGGCCTTTCTGCCTTCTAGTCCCAAGTGTGGCTTAGCAAACAGGGCTGGCCACCCCCACGGGCCTGCATTTCCCACGAATGGCAGGACACTCCACGTGTGCAGGCAGGTGAATGGTGCCTGGTCACGGGCGCGGACACAGGTTGCCCTTTCCTCGGCCGGACCGGATGCACCTGAGGGCAGGGTCTGTGTCGTCTCCCTTTGGCCCCCAAGTCCCACCCCACCGGGCTGAGTTTACTGTTGGTGCTCGGTAGAGCATCTGGGGACTTCGGTCACTTTGCCTCTCAGGCCCAGGTCTCCTCATCTGGAAAATGAGAATTCACAAGTGGTTTATGGGGTGTCTGCCATGTGCAGGGAGCAGTGGTAGACCCTGGGACCCACAGGGGAAGCAGAGCCAACCATCCCTGTCCTCTTGGAACCTAAGTGTAGGCGGGAGGCCGACACATCTGGGGAAAGCACAGGTAATTAGATTGAGGATCTGAGGTGGGCGAGTGGTGGCCGTGGGGCTCTGAGAGGGGGTTGGGAGGGGCACCAGCGCCTGCACGTGATGTGAGAGATAGGAGGAGGATGAGGCTGGACAGGAGGAGGGGAAGGCCTGAGCACAACCCAGGAGACGGAGCGGTGAGCCGTCCAGCTTGATCCAGCCGTGGGAGAAACGGCAGGGAAGGGAAGCTGCAGACCCTCTGGGAAGGGCCCTGAAGTGGGGCAGGGGCTCAGCTGTAATGTGGGAGAGGACACGGCACAGTCTGTGGCACTTTCACCCATGTGGCTGAGACTGTTGGTGTCCTTCCCATGTGCCCGAGGACAACCTGAAGTCACCTGCCAACAGCTTCCTGCAACTCTGCCTGAGAGTGATGTCTGGCCCCAGGCAAGGGCCTGCATGCCCTGGGGGACCTTCAGTGTGGAGGGGCAGGAGCCGGTGACCTAACCCACCCGCTGTCCCCAGTGAGGTGGACAATCCTGGGGAATGCTGGCCTCAGCTCCAGAGGCCCCCAGACAGGACCGAGCCCCAGAGGCCACCTGCTCTCGGACGCATTCTTCATTGACTTTCCTCCCTGTCCCGCCCCTCACAAGCATCCTAGCGGCACCTCCCAACCGCTCCCACCCAGATCCTTGGGGAATCCAAGAGAAGACAGCCAGGATTTCCCACTTCTCCAGGGTTGACTCGGTCAGGAAGGGGAAGAGGCACTGCAGCCAAGGAGGGAGAAGCAGCGGAGAGGGCAGAGCTGCGGGGGGCCGGGAAGGGGCGTCTGTTACCCTGAAGGTCGAGACACCGGTGTCAGGGTCTGTGGGAAACACGGGCGTCTTTGCCCTTCCGTTTATTCAGGGGTCTGGGCTGCACCTTGTTGCAGACAGGATTTAAAGCCACTTAAAAACATTTTTTAAAAAGACTTTTTAAAATTTATTTTTAGAGAGAAGGAGAAAAACATCTCTCGGTTGCCTCTTGTACACACCTCATCTGGAAACCAAACCCACAACCCAGACATCTTCCCTGACTGGGAATCAAACCGGTGACCTTTGGCTTTGTGGGACGCCCAACTCACTGAGCCACATTGGTGAGGGCTAAGGTCACTTTCAACACTCATGTTATTTGGGATCATCCTGTGCCTTATGAAGCGACATTGGCTCATTGCAGGGGCTTGGTCCTTCCGGTCGCCACTGCAGCCTCGCGCTGTGCACACTGCGGCTCAGCGCTGACCCTGCTGGCGTGTCTGGCGCCCCTGCCTGGGCAGGGCACAGCCATCCTCTCTGGTCTCTGTCGGTTGCATGGGGGTAAGTTTCATGTGCTTTTTATCTTTTCTTATTGATTTGTAGGAATTCTTTGTATTTGCCAAATCCCAATTCTTTGTTAGTAATATGTGCTGCAAATCTTTTCCCAAACTCAGACTTACCTTTCATTTTGTTTTCAATATTTATTTATTAAGAGAATTCAAATATCTTATTTATGATAAGTTTTAGATTTCTAGTCACATTTATCAATATTTTCCTTCAAGATTTGTGTGTTGTTGTTGTTTTTTTCCAGAAAATCTTTCTATGGCAAATTCTATTGGTGATATCCAATATCTATTCTACTCATCTTCCTTAGTAAAAAAAATCCTGGGTGTTAGCTGGGCATATTGCCAGCCAGCTATAAGAATACATTTCCTTTCCAGTTGGGTGTGGTCATCAGACAGACCTCTGACCAACTGAATGTAAATAAAAGTGTTTTGTGGGACTTCTGGAACATTTCCCTCCCTCACCTTCTTCGTTCTGTCATCTAAAAGGTAAATGTGATAGCTGGAACTCCAGCAGTCATCTCGGACTTTGAGGCAACTTTAGTGTGGAAGCAACGTGCTGAGCAACAGCAGGGCAAAAAAAAAAATTAGAAGCCTATTTCTTGATATCATTGTAAATCAGTCATGACAGTTTTTCTGTGTTTTTGTTGTTGTTGTTGTTGTCTGCCTGCAGAAACGTCATACCTGAGATAGCTCTGATCATAAATGAGAGACAACTTACTTAAGCCTCTATTGCTTTGGGTTTTCCTATCTAAACACTTTCCTATTTTCCATTTTCTTTTAAAAGCTTCACAGCTTCACTTATCACACATAGTTCTTTAATTCATCTGGAATTGATTTTTGCTTATGTGGGAGGTGGGAATCTAATTTTATTCTTTTTCCATATGTATTAGACAACTAATCCTAGCATCATTTACTGATTAGTCCAAAACAAAATAGAAGGTATTTTGGAATAAATTTAGTAAAACTTGCTCAAAACCTTTATAGCTAACATTGTAAAATCAACTTCACAATGTAAGTTTTTTAAATGCTTAAATAAATGAAAAGGCACACCATGCTCAAGGGTGGGAAGATAATTCTTCCCTGAATCAATCTATAAATCAAATCCTGCTGTGGGTTTTTCAAGTTATGTATGCAAAGATAAAATAAAACAACAACAGTAACAAAAAAACAAGTTAAGAAATTAGGAAGAATAAGGTCAAAAAATCAGTTGAAGCCAGAGGTGAGGGCGGCTGTAACAGTCAGAGGTGAGCCACACATTTTCCATTTAAACTTCTGGCGACTGACACACAGAGGGGAACACGAGGAGTCTCCGTCTAACAGATAAGAGCACGTCAGGACCAGGTAAACGGAGCCGTTCCCAGGACGGGTGGAAGGACTGGGGGGGGTGGGGGGGGTGACAGCTAAGGGCACCGGTTTCTTTTGGCGGTGATGGAAATGTCCTGAAACTGACTGTGATGTTTTGCACAACTCTGATGCGCTTTGAAAAACCTTTGAATTATATGGCATGTGAAT